TGAACTCTTGCAATCAGCTCTTTCAATTGCTTATCTTCATAAATGTCAACCCCATTATCACCAAACACCAACCAATGCCCATGTTCTATCATCTGTCCTACGCTCAACAGATTCTCATCCAAACCAGGTACAATCATAACTTCTCTAATGTATCTAGTAACACCTTGCACATCTATAGCCAAAGTACCTTTGCCTATTGATTGTACTAAATCACCAGTACCCATCTTAACTTTACAGTTCACATTTCTATCTATATCAATAAGCAAGGACTCATGAGCAGTCATATGATTACTACAAGCACTGTCCACATACCAAACATTCATATTTCTTCCAATAGTAGCTGAATGACAAGCATAAAACATAGTAGCAGGTTTTGTTACCTTACTAGCCAAGTTTGCAAGTCTCTCAGTTTTATTTGATTGTTCACAGTCTTTGATGAGATGCCCAAAACGATTGCACCCATAGCACTTTGGCTTTCCTTTAAACCAGCATTCTCCATAGTGAAGCTTATCACAGTGCTTGCATTTCCCTTTTGCTTGATCTGAGTTTTCCCCTTGTTCATGCTTTCCTCCTTGGTTGCCACTATTTTGAGGTTTTGAATCCCATTTCTTACCCTTCGATTTCCAGCTCTTCTTTGATTTATTATTACCAAAACCAGAATTTGACTGAGATCCTTTTTTATTTATGCTCATGCTGCTGAAAGCTTTCTCAGTGGTGCTCTCAGTATGTCTATCAAGGCGCTGAGCAAAACCCCTCAATGCAGCAATCACCTCTTGCACTTCAATCGTTTCAATATCCTTAGTTTGTTCAATTACATAACAGACAGGATCAAATTCCTTAGTCAGACTTATAAGTAGTTTTTGAACTAACCTTCCTTTGGATAGATCTTCCCCATATCCCTTCATCTGATTCACAAGCTCAAGTAGGCGAGTGAGGTACCCAGACAAGGTCTCATCATCCCTCATCCTTGTGTACTTAAAATCACGACGCAGACCCTGCAATTTGATGGATCTGACCTGCTTATCACCATGAAATTCCTGATGTAAAATATCCCATGCACCCTTTGAGGTTTCCTCATTCGAAATCCTAGGGAAAATGTCTTCTGAGACAGCCCCTTGGATAATCCCAAGTGCCTTAGCATCCTTCATTAACAGAGCTTCCTTCTCAGAATCCAATGACCCAGCATCATCCACCTTCTTCCCCTTTGAATATGGAATTTGAAACCCCTTTTCAACTAAATCCCAGATTCCATGAGATTTGAAAATCGTTCTCATTCGAATCTTCCAAAACTCATAGTTGTCCCCATTGAATATTGGAGCTCTGAGATCACTCCCACCTGACCCAGCCATCTGAGACCAGAATCAATGAACTGAGTCGGAAATTTCTCGTCGGATTTCCAAGCTCAGCCTACACAGCTTCAACGCCCACTATCCAGATCCAACCATTGTTGCTGATACCATGTTGAGATTTGGATTGTCAAGGGAGCTAGAGAGCAAAAGACTAAGAGAGGGCTTGAGCGAGAAGAAAGAAAGGTATGGTTATGACCACAACAGCTCTGCAAAACCGTTGTAGCAGAGTATTTTCATTTATACCCAAAATGTGTTCTTACATCAGCAAATACAATCTAACGGTTGTGAGGGTTAAGCCAATGTGAATATGACACATGGCATTACAAAGCTTTTAGAACCGCTGAAATAAGAGAGACTATCCTAAGCCTTACACTTGGCATATGAGCTCAAGGTGCTCAGCTAACAGACTACTTGAACAGACTAAATATAAATTGACTAAGTGATTACTAACTAATCAGAAATTAGCTAGGCAGTTTACATTTTAACAATTACAGTTTCTCTGAAAGGGGACTAGGCTGGAAATTTGGGTTGGCCTGTTGGGCTGGAGGTATGCGCTCAGATGGGATTAACACAGGAAAATACACAAAGGAAAAGTTTTAATGAACAACTTGGACATGACTAGAGTCTATTCCACTCTTCAAGTAGTTCCGCACATGAATTCAAATTTCATACACGACAACAGGTGAATAGAAGTAAATTAGGGAAGACTTTCGGTGACCATAGTGGAGAAGTAAGGATTGCTTACGCCATATATGGAAATTGGGAGTACTTCACCTAGCATTATTTACTGCGAATTTGTCCCTGTAGCAAGTAAAAAGTAGGAATAGATAGTTCCTCCATGTTTTGCTCTCAGTCCCATGCTGAATCATTTTTACTTGCCAAGTTTGTATAGAAATATAAGTAAAATCATGTAATTGCAATTTATTAAAATTATAAGTAAAATCCGAAGTGAATTAAAATCATAAGTAAAATAATGTAATTGCAATATATTAAAATCATATAATTACGAATTCGGCTGAAATCAATTACTTTAAAATCATGTAATTACAATATATTAAAATCTCAATTGAATACACCCCTTTTAATTACCAAAAAATAACTGTCTGGGAAAGCTGGAAATATGAAGAAAAAAAAATGTTTGTTCTGTTTGTGTCTGTTTTTCATTTTGGGGAATGGTTAGAGATTGCTTTAGTTGGTTTTGGAATCTCTGAATTTTCGATTGTGAGATTTTTTATTATTTATCTATCACATGTAATTTGGTTATGTTTAATTCATGTTCAAAGAGGTTTTACCTGTAATTTGATTGGAAATGGTTCATGCTAGTGCTTGGGACTTCAATAGAATGCAATAATATCAATACTCTTGACTTATTTTAAATAGCATGCACAGGGTTTTGAGCAATTTTCTTTTATCATTTCATGTCATTGTTCTCTGTGATTAATTGAATAATACCTCTTTCATCTATTCATCTATACAATTCTTTCAAAGGTTTCAGTTCTTGGTTGGAGGCATCAGTTTTTCATATTAAACTCTCCTTTTATGGATTTGGTTCTTTAGTTTTAATGTTGGAGTAGGTTTTTGTGATTGGTGTGTGATACTTTAGATGGGGTTTGTGGGGGCGTGCAGAATTCATGTAATAAGTTGAATTTTCTTAGATTCATATTAGATTGGAGTTTAAGAACTTAGCTGACAACAATAGAAAGTCTTTGCTAAACTACACATGTAATCAAATATGATATTTGATTTCCGTGTATGCTTTTTTTCTAAGCATATCTCTTATGTATAATGCACTGTTTTTGTGGCTAAAGTTTCTTGACATGTTATTTTAATGAGATGTTTAATCTTAGCAATATACATCTTGTTTAATGATATGGAATTTTTCTAGACGAGTTATTGTATGACAAATTCACATGATTCAAAATTTTTAAAGAAGCTACACAATTCACGAACAAATTTAAGGTACCCAACTTTATGAGGCTTGTTAGCCCCACATGCATCTCTCCTGACAAGTTTGTCGGAGAGATCAACGCTATTAACAAGGAAAAGGATGGAGTCATATTCAAGCACTCTTCCTTTTACAGACTCTAGACATATTCACTATACATATGAGAAATATAAGTATGGAAGGCATGATAGAGTATAAAGGCACATCAATCAAACTACATGTGAACATTAGAATATCTTGACAAGCCTTATAAGAAATCATGACACTGTGTTCTTACTTTAATATATACAAAAAAGGATTTTTGAAGCTTTTGACTAAAAGGCATAGAAGATGTAGCATACCCCACGACCATTGTCAGCGATGCTCGCAGAACCATCTGCAAGTAAAACAGCCTCGATCTTTGAAGCAAATCCGGCTCGAGCCTCATCCACAGCATTATCTAATTTTTCATAGACCTAAAAGAGCAAAAGCACATTATTAAAAATGGAAAGATAAAAGTGAGGAAAAACAATACCAAATGGTGAAGACCACGAGGTCCTGTGCTCCCAATATACATCCCTGGCCTCTTTCTAACAGGGTCTAAGCCTTCCAATACCTGAACATGTTAGACGTTACAGCATCAAGCCAAAACTAAGTCGGAGTGACAGCTTACAAGACCCACTCAACAATTTCTAACCAAACCCATCAATAAGCAACAATTTCCAACAAACATAAACACCTTAATAAACTTACTTATCTATTTTAAAAACAAAAATAACAAGCATGATATCTTATCACCAAAAATAACAAATGAACAAATAAATCCACTCAAATTCAAACAAAGAAAAAGTTATGTTGTAACAAGAATACTGATAGAGCCGCCTTAATTCCCCAGTTGCCGCATTTTCTAGGAAACCAAACAGAAAATAAGCAGAAAATGAGGGGGAAAATATGAAAGGAAAAAGCAACTGGGTTGTGGGTTGAACAAGAGGGAGGGACGAGCAAGAGAGGAAGACGAGAAAGAAGAAGAAGAGGAGGGGAAGTGAGGGTAGAGAAGAGTGTGGGAGAAAGCGTAAGGCCATGAAGCGAAGATAAGGAGGTGGAGGTCTCAGAAGAAGAAGCGCCATAGGATTTGGTTTTCACTCTGTTTTACTTTCTTTGTATTTTAGGGGAGCAGATCCGCTGTTCTCAAATTGGTGTCCTCTCCATGTCACCTCTAATTTGCTGAAATGTGTCAACTAAAATAATAAGAAGTTAACTTTATTAACTTTTTATTTGACAATTTTAAAAATTAAAAACTGCCCAAATATCGAGCGAGCCAACGAGCGTCTTCGTCTTCCCCGTGCGAGCATTGTCTCCTCTTTTTAACTTTAGTTACACGATGTCATGTCTTTTGAATAGTTACTTGGTGTCACGTCATTTTCTTAACTATAGTTATTCGGTGTCACGTCTTTTGTTCTTTGTGCTGTGAATGTTATTAGGTGTATTTGGCGATTTGGGCTGTGAGGTTGCCAAACACTTTGTAAACATCCCAATTTGTTGATAGTGTATGTGTTTGCACATGCTGCTCTTGGAACATACCCAGTTATACCCAATTTGTTAAATCTTTTATTTTTCTTGTTTTGACATTTATTTTCTATTATTATCTTTGGGTTAGAAGCACCTGCTTCAGTATAAATTTATTGATTTTCGAAATGCATTGATGCAATTATTTCCTTAAGGCTTGGTGCTTCTAGCACAACACATACAAGTACAAATGTATATTACAACCAACTTAGAAAATTGTAAAAGACAATACTGCTTTATTTGCTTGAATACATATATGCCTTCACATTTGCAACTTCTTCTGTACTCTATGATCCTTTATGCAGATAAGTACCAATGGCTGAGACAAAATCAAGGATACCATATTTCACTTTGTCAAGGAATTGGAAATAGGCGTATCTCCAGGACTTCTTGATGGCCAAAGTCTCAAAAACTCCCCAGAATCCTGCACAGAAACCTATCACCATGCTGATGATGAACTGTAGCTTTTCAAGTTTACTGTCATCATCATCCTCTCCTCCATCTCCACTCGGAACTTGAGGTGTTTCTTCATTCTCTTGGCAACCAATTGGTAATGGACACCCGCTAAGACCGGCATTACCCTCATAAATTGATGGGTCAACAAAGGTCTGAAACTGGTTACCCGTTGGGATTTTCCCGAACAAGTTATTGTATGACAAGTTTAGATGATTCAAAAGTGTTAAAGAAACCATGCTTTGTGGAATTGAACCTGAAAGTTTGTTCACTGATAAATCAAGAGTTTCTATTGACCTCAAGTTTCCGATATTTGTTGGGATATTTCCTGTCAAATGATTCATGGACAAATTTAAGGTGCCCAACTTTAATAGGCTTGTTATCCCCACAGGAATCTCCCCTGACAAGTTATTGTCCGAGAGATCAATGCTATAAACAAGGTAAAGGATGGAGTCATATACAAGCACTCTTCCTTTTGACACCACCCCCAATCTTCCCTGGTAACCGTAGACTTCTATACCTATGTCTTTGACCTCATATTTCAAGCCACTCAAATTATCTATGCAGTGGGGAATATTTCCAGAAAGATTGTTGTGTGATAAGTCCAATATATGGAGAGTGGAAAGGCCACATAATTTTAAAGGGATGCTTCCAGTAAATGAGTTGTTCCTCAAGCATAGAATCTTTAAAGAAGGCATGCTTTCTCCGATGGAAGCCGGAATCGGTCCAGAAAACTTGTTATCACCAAGATCAAGAATCCTCATGTCAGAACAGTTCTTCAAGGAAGGAACTTCACCTGACAAGTTGTTGCTAGAGACGATCAAATATTTGAGTGAAGTAAGAGAGCCTAAGGTTCTTGGGATTTTACCAGAGAGACTGTTGCTTGACATGTCTATAGCAACCAAAAATGGTATATTGTTCCAAAAATGAGGAATCTCACCAGACAAATGGTTATTTGAGATAACCATGGTTGTTAATTGGCTTAAATTACCAAAGGACAGGGGAATGCTTCCACTCAAAGAGTTCCTAGAAATGTCTAGATGTGTCAAATGGGGCATCACTTGACCAATGTTATGAGGAATTGGCCCTGAAAATAGATTATCGCTAAGATACAGCACGGTAATGTTTGAGGACCAGAGTGGGAGTGGGCCCTCATAGCGATTTGAACTCAAATCAACAAGGGAATCATAGCTGAATCTTAATGAATTGGGCACCCTGCCACTTAGTTGATTATAAGCGATGTCTAGAACATCTAATTGCAAAACCAACTGCCAAAACCAATCTGGTGTGGTGTCTGAAATCCTAGAATTACGAAGTACCACGTTGGTCAACTCAGTCTGATTTCTAAGCCATGTAGGAAATTTGGGACCCAGTTGGCATGATCTAATGTACAAGCTTCTTAATTTGAATGGAGGTATCCAATCAGAACTTATGTTGAAAACCAAGGAAATGTTTGGAGAATCATTTCCAATTGATACATCTCTCAGGCCTCCAAGTTTCGCAAAATGAGCTTCTGTAATGGCACCTTCCCATGTATTGCCAAAGATATGAAGTGAAACCAGCGATGAGAGCTCCCAAAGACTTTCTGGGATGATCCCACTCATTTGATTCCATCCAAGGTTAAACTCCTCCAAAGATGTTAAATTTCCAATCGATTTTGGCATTGAACCCTGAAATGAGTTAACTGACAATTTGAGGTATCTCAAGCTTTTAAGATATCCCAAAGAATCAGGCAGTTTTCCTGTCAGACTGTTATATGCGAAATCCAAATTCTCTAGTTTAGTGAGATTGAACAACCAAGGAGGTATTGTGGAGGTGAATTTATTGCCAGAGAGATCAAGAACTGAAAGGGATGTGAAATTGATGGAAGGAAGAGTGAGAGGAAGCATGGGAAGACCACAAGAGGGCAAATGCAATTCAACAAGTGAAGGGAGCATATTAACAG